TATATATACTCATGTATACAGAGAGATCTATTGAAACAGCTTACAGGCTAATCCAGCAATGGCTGGCTGTTAACAGAAAATCCAAAACTCCAGAAGTTGCTCAGTCTGCAGGCTGGATGTCGCAGCTGGTCTTCAGTATATGTCAGAATCCCAAAGAAGTAGGCTCCAAAGCCAGTGAAGGAATGGATGTGCTAGCAAAGTGAGGGCAAGCAGGCAAAGAGCAAAAGTGAAGCAGAAGGTGTGGCCCAGATTAAAGGTGTGTCTTCAGCCTCATGATCCGGATCAAAGTCATGGTCTTCCCACCTCAAAGGTCTGGACTAGAAGTGGATTCAGCAAAAAACAAGCAAAAGTCATCTCTCACGGGTATGCCCTCAGTTTCTGTATTCTAGTTCATTCCAGATGTGGCCAAGTTGACAACCAAAAATTGCTATCACAGATGTCACTTTTCAGGCACTATCCACTTTGAAGTCATTTCTCCTGGGCCTCGGTCTCACCAGGATGCTGGCCACTGAGGCGCACTACAACTGACTTTCTTTCTATAGGGAGTAGATGGAACTCAGGTCTTTGTGCTTTCGAGACACTCACTTTCCAGACTGAACCGAGCCATCTCCCCACCCCCAACTAAAGTACTTCTACACCTTTAGCAGCTGGGTGGTAGCTCAGTTGGTATAGTGGCTGCCTACGAGGTCCTGGGTTCAATACCCAGCCCTGCAACACTGAAGATTCCATCTGCATGTCATTCCCAGTCTAGCACACAGACAGACAGACAGACACACACACACACAAACACATGCACACGCACAGTACACACACACACACACACACACACACACACTTCACCCAAATGTCCATTCTGAACTATCTTTCTCAGGTAGTGCATGCACTTCCCTGTCAGTGTGTGTTCTATAACTGGGTTTCTTCCTTAAAAAAAAAAAAAAAAAAAAAAAAAAAATCCAGTCTTTTAATCTATGGAGTTTAATCATACAACTACCACAAAACTAGCACTAAATAAATAAATATTTTAGAAAGCCCTGAATTATGTTATGAGAAAAGACATTTGTGTAATACAGGGCCTAAGCAAGAAGATTCTTTTTTGTTTTTAGGGGGAGGGACTGGCCTAGACCCTGCCATGTGAACCAGGCTGGTCTCTAAGTCACAGAGATCACTTGCTCTATCTCCCTAGTACTGAGATTAAAGGCGTGCACTATCATGCCCGCCAACCAAGCAAGAAGTTTTGAAAACTTAATTGTGCTTGGGAAGCAGAAGCAGGCGGATCTCTGTGAGTCTGAGGCCAGCCTGGTCTACAAGACCCAGGTCAGTCAGGGCTACACCGAGAAAATTTGTCTTGAAAAATAATTTTAAAAAAAATGTTCTGACCGGATACTGGAACCACTCTAGCAGTGAAGGGAACAGAATCTGAGTGACGAGGAATTCTGTCTTCCACTCAGCTGTTTTGTTAGGTCTCATTCATAAAAGCTCAGACTGCTTTTGTCCTGCCTCGCGCCACCTAAGGCGAACATGTTCACAATGCGTCCTCCACGTCCCCAGGGGGCGCTGCGAGGAACTCGGTCTCCAAAGGGAACCGTTTCCGCCCGGAAGCATTTCCGCCCCACGGTCCTCTGGGTCCCGCGACACGCTTCCGAGTTCCGACTACGCACGTGCAGCTACTGCTCAGTGCAGCCTGCTAGCGCGGCCCGGCAAACATGTCGCACTTACAGATGAAACTCCTGCGCAAGAAGATCGAGAAGCGGAACATCAAGCTGCGGCAGCGAAACCTGAAGCTGCAAGGTGAGCTGTGTTGAACCCCGCGTTGGCGAGTGATGTGGGGTACTCCGAAACTCCGCCGTGCGCTGGGTAGCTTCCGGCGGGCTGCTAGGCCGCCTGGGTCTCAGCACCCAGTGGACCTTTCGTTGATTCCAGCCTTTGCCCGCGAGGGTTTCTCGGTTCAGGGTCGCAGCGGCAGAACTCGGGTTTGCTTCCCAGGCTTATGATGGCTGGGCAGCAAAACTCACCCATTACCCTTCTTTTTAGACTCCCCCATCATCTTTAGGCCCCATATAGAACTTTAGGTCTAGGTACTATCCATTTTCTGGCTTTTATTTAGGTGCTGGATCTCATCTCCCGCCCAAGCTTAGCAATTCTTTTTCATTTTTCTTGGCTTTCCCAACAATTTCCTCTACCGTTTGTCCAAGTCCGTTCTCTTATTTCTGCAGTGATCCTCATAGCATGTTAAACGCAGAGCCCTCCCCATGTTCTTGGTTCTTGTCTGGCCCAACTTAGTTTGTAAATCCCTTAATGTCTTGTTTTTGGCACCGCACCTTAAATGAAAAGTTTACACAGATGTCACCTTTCGTGATGCAGTTTCTGTAGCTTGTTAAGATTTCCTGTAAGATGTAAATCGATGGTCCCCAACCTACCTAATGTTGCAACCCTTTAATACAGGTCCTCATAATAATGCAAATATCTGATAGGCGACCTGGCGAGGGTCGCGACGCACAGGCTGAGAGTTGCTGAATAAATCCTCTGGGATGTGCTGGGGCATATTGTCACGTCCCACATAATAGTCAACAGATAGTTATTGAAAGAAATCCCAGAGGGGGCGATGGATTTAAAGGAAGCTCCTTCATTTAGTTTCTGTAGAATAATTAATACTAATTAGTAGCTGCTTGGTGTGGGTAATGTAAAGGTCGTGTCGCTTTCATTCTCCTATCGACAGGGAAACTTTGTAAAGCTAGTTTGGGGCTTTAATTGAGGAAATAAGTGGTTTTCATTAACTGAAGTTTTAGTTCATCTAAGTCCAGGAAAATTGGGTTTGAATGATGTGAAATTTTGTAATCAATAGTTGTGGGAATGCAAAGTGAATGCCATTGGTTATGTTTATCAAATACTTAATGTTAGAAATATGTCTTTTAACCAGGCGGTGGTGGCGCACGCCTTTAATCCCAGCACTCTGGAGGCTCAGGCAGGCCGATCTCTGTGAGTTCAAGGCCAACCTGGTCTACAAGAGCTAGTTGCAGGACAGGCTCCAAAGCTACTGAGAAACCCTGTCTCAAAAAACCAAAAAGAAAAAGAAACATGTCTTTTCATGGCTGTTTTCTAATTCCATTGATTTAGTTATGTGACATTGTTGGCATTTTCCTGTTACAGATTTCTGTATAGCCTTAAACAGATGAGGTCTTTTTTCTTGGTTTCTCTGTGCCTCCTGGAACTTGCTTTGTAGACCAAGCTGGCCTCAGCTGCACAGACTCCACCTGCCTCTGCTTCTGCTGGAATTAAAGGCATGGACCACAATGCCGAGATGAGATAGGGTCTTTTGAAGTTAAAAAATTAAGCAATTGCTATTTTGACCTTTTTTTTTTTTTTTTTTTTTTTTTTTTGTTTTTTTTGT